AAGGCAAAGACTAGGAGGGGCCAGGGGTTGCCGGGCGCAGGATATCACCATAGCCGAGCACTTGGCAACATTTAGAGGGAGCCTGTTCTCAGAGGATCAAGCAGACACTGCATCAAGGTCATGTGGAGCTCCTGTTGGTGAGCAAGGCTAGAGATCGGGTGCAGAAGAGTTACATCAGCTGCATAAAGCAGGGGCTTGCAGTACAGGGATGTAACAATGTCATTGATGTAGACGTTGAAAAGTGTGGGTCCAAGCACACTGCCCTGAGGAACACCGGACAAGACCCCAACTGTATCAGACACTGCACCACGGAGCACAACGCGCTGAGTTCGCTCACATAGAAAGTCTGTCAACCAGTTGAGGGGTTCGCCACATACGCCAAAAGCACGGAGCTTGCATATGAGGATCTTATGGTCTACTCTGTCGAATGCCTGCCGGAAGTCCAACTGAACAAGCGCAGAGGGGGTACGGCCATGCAGGTACTCACTGGCAGTGTTGATGAGAACAGCCAGGGCCGACTCGCAGCTCCGACCGGGCCGAATACCATGTTGATACACAGTGAGTAGATTATGCTGTTCGAAGTGAGCAAGCAGTTTTCTGTTTATTACACGCTCCATGGTCCTGCAAACTACGGAGGTCGTGGAGTTGGGGCGGTATGATGAGGCAGTGTCAGTCGGCGCCTTCCCACCATTGTGTACAGGCGTTACCATGGCATGTTTCCACTGCCGTGGCACCTTTCCCGCCGAGAGGAAGTTGCCAAAAAGCTGAGTAGGGACTGAGCATAATCTGGTGGAGCAGGCTCGTAGGAATGCAGGGTGAACGCCATCAGGTCCTACACTTTGGGAAGCGTTGAGGCAGCGCAGCGCTTCTTTAGTGTCGTCCTCTGTGATCACTGGCCTGGTAGGTACATTACAGTCAGATGTTTGGGCACTGGGAGTGCCGAGAGCTAGAGGCACATCTAGGACAGCGTCGGAAGCCCATACAGAGGAAAAATGGTCACTAAACAGCTCAGCAATAGTTTTAGGGTCACTGAGAACCGAGCCGTCCCTTTCGAACTCTGGGACAAAGGAGGACCTGCGCTGGCTCTTGATGTATGCCCAGAAAAGCTTGGGAAAGCGCGCAGCTTTCTCGGCGACCACGCACAGGTACTCCTTGTGGGCCGTATACACCAACTTTTTCAGGTCTCGTTGTGCTCTTCGTGCTGCAGCAAGGACGTCTGGATGATTTGTCTTCTTGGCTTTTCTGAAGAGTTTCCTCTTTTTGTGGGAGAGGGGTATAATATCATTGGAGATCCAGGGGGTCCTCCGACGGCCGGACAGATGCTTGGAAGGCACACAATCTGCCTCAATGGCGCTCATGATGTCCAGCCACATGTCGTAAGCTTCATCTACAGATGGAGTGTCGAGGACCAGACTCCAGGGTGCGACATATAGGAGGCTGTTCAGGTGCGGCAGGTCCATCCTGGAGAAGTTCCGTACCATTTTAAAATAATGGCCAGACTTCGGCAGCGTCAAGAGGCTCGAAAAGCGGATTGCGTTATGGTCGGACCCAGCCAGGCTCGGTTGGATGGAACAGTCAGTTATGAGGGGAAGGTTGCTCACAAACACGAGATCTAAGAAGGACGCTTTGCCTGGTATCGACCTGTATGAGGGTTCACCGCACACCTGAACAAAACCAGACGTTTCCATAACATCAAGGAGAGCATCGTCGTGCGGGCTCAGCGGGACAGGTGCACAGATTTCTTCTTGGTCCGATCAAGGACCAGAAGGGTTAGCAGGATTGACTGATTTTTGTGAAGCCTGCTCTATAGGGGCAGTTTTGCCACTGTTTGCGTGGTCAGAAGCCCGCGGTACGAACCTCTTTCCACAACCAGACCCAGCCGAAGGCGGCTTCGACGTGCGGGGTCGAGCGTCACCCACAGCTGTGTTTCCCAGGTTTTTCGAGGTTGGAAGCAGCATGTGAGCCATGCTGCTCCTTAGGCTGGTGGGCTGCATCCAGGGAGCTGGAGCGATGGCCTCGCTCCTCATCCCGTGGAGAAGACCCACTAGAATGGGCCGGCCGTTCAGCCGGCCCGTTCCTTTGCCTTGGGGGCAAAGGATGCATCTGTACTCCCAGTGTTAACTGGGACACACGGCTTCCCCGCGGTTAGTTTTGGGGCCCGAGGAGGGTCCACCAAGTCTTCCAGTGAAAACTGGGTGGCCCTAGATTCCATGTGCGGTGCAGGGCCACTGCGCACCGCGTCAGAGCTTGAGCCCTTCAAGATGAAGGACAACCTTTGTTTCGCCTCAGGGTAGGATATATTCTCTTTAGCTCTTAAAGGAGCTGTGCAACGATATTCAATTGTAATGTTTTTCTCTCTACACGAGCTTACTGGCACACCTGGGACTCAAGGATACTCACACGCAACGCCATTGGCCAAGAAACTCCTTTGTTGCGGTGTAATTTCAAGGACAAAAGCGATCATTTTCATTCAATCTCTCCTTTGCAAATTTGATGACGTAACTCGGGGATCGCAGTACACCCAAGTGACGATATTTGAATGCGATTCATAGACTGGACCCGAGCATTGCGTGGGCACTCGACTTGGGCTCGTGACAATTGCTAGCTCGAGGAGCATTCGGGTTGTGACCCGTGTCCAATCGCTGCAACGACGACAACAGCCGAGCCATAACAATGTCTGGAACTCAGCGCGTGTCCTGCGCTTTGCCAACCCCAGCGCGTGGCTATGATCAACACTGGCGGCATATAATCGGCTCCAGATCACGTGGCCGCTTGTTCTGGCTGCGAGTTGAGGGGGTGAACGCTGCTCGTTTTTCTTTAATTTTTTTCTGGGACTTCTATTGCGTGGGGTGAAAAACGAACGCGTGTTTCATAGGTCATTAACGTTAGGGATCCGTTCTAAGCGGTATTTGCGCAAAGTACAAAAATTGTTGCATCGCCCCTTTAACGTCAAAATCTCTTTCTCCCTCTGCCACAAGTGGCAGGTGCGAGAGTATGCTGGATGGGGACCTTTGCAGTTTGCGCAGCAAACCCCATTTTCACAATTGTCGGCAACATGATCGTGGCTCCCACACTTAGCGCACGTCTCCTTCCCTCGACAGCTGCGCGACCAAAGTTCTGGCATCGGAAGCACCGCTGTGGGTTAGGAACATAGAGTCGCACGCGGTAGTTCTAGTAGCCAGCTTTGGCAAGCACCGGAAACGTTTGACGCTCAAATGTCAAAATCAAGTGTTTGGTCTTAACTTCAGTGCCCTCTCGTTTGAAAGTGATGCGTTGGACTGAAACCACTTTATGGTACGTTTACACTTGCCGATCCGCTAGCGGATCCGCCCAACTTTTGCCGCTGGGGCGAAACGCTGGGCGGGAAACGCGGCGGCGAGCCGAATAGGTCCCGGACCTATTTCTGCCGCCGAACGAGGCGTTTCGCTGACCGGAAGTGTGACCGGAAGTGACATTTTTGCGTAGCGCGAAGCTGCTACGTCACGAGTATGCGCTCTCCCACTTCGTTTTTGACAATGGCGTCGACGGTATCCAGCGTCTCTGGCATGGCTGGGAACGAGGACAGCTCAACCGCCCCATATTCAGCGGAGATGTTGATTGACATTGTGAAAAATTATCCTTGCCTCTACGACCTTAGGAATGCGTCGTACAAAGATAACAAGTACAAAGACGAACTGTGGAACAAGATCGGTGCGGGATTCGGAATGAAAGGTATGTGCTTTCAAAATCTTGCAATTTTTAGAGGGAGCGGGTTTAGACTGCAGTGCGCCGTAAGCTTCCCCCCTATTTGGTATTATCTTGTGAATTGCCAGCTACCTTAGCATGCGACCCCAATATTAGTCATTTGTTCTTGTAACAATGTACCGGTGTGTCGCCGAAGCAAGGAAGCAATGCGGGCGTGTCGGTTAACGGAAGAAATGAACGCAGCACACCAGCGACGAAGAAATCGCAAAATGCAGCGAAAATGACAAGTACTCTTTTGTGCTGTAAAAACGGTGCCAGGTCTCGTCGGTCATGTGCGCCACAACTATCGCCGGTGCCGAACAGCACTTGTAAAACCACTGTATGTTGTGTTTGCAGGACAGAAGTGCAAAAATAAATTTAAAAATTTAAAGGACTCGTTTACGAAGGTGCAAAATGGAATATCCACATGCATGAAGGGTGGCGCCGGCGCAGCGGACGTGCCCACGGTGAAGTGGAAACACTTCGAACAAATGATGGAAGTGATGGAGTGGGTCTCCGAAGCTCCGATGTAAGTAACAAATTTTTATATACGCCTCAGGCTGGTCCGTGCAGCAGTTTTGAACCAGTTTCGCTGATTCAAGGGCATGTTGTGTGAAATAGATTTGCGCATTACTTTAAACATCTTTCCGCCATGTTTACGACGAATCGGTTTTCATTGCAGCCTGCGGAATAACATCGTATTGGGCACAGAGGCACGGTATGTTTTTGGCAATAATAATGCCGATCTCTACTTCAAAAACTAAGCATACAAAAATATTGAGCATATAAAATGCAAATTATTACAAGTTGGGAGTACAGACTGCTGCAAGTGACTGCTCCGTTCTGGTGTACAGTGCTCATGTGGGCGTACTTCTATTAGAGTGGTAAACAGCTGCAGGCACGTAGCCAGGATTTTTTTTTTTCGGGGGGGGGGGGGGGGGGGGGGCACCCATGACAAAATGCTGTATGAGGGGGAGGGGGGAAAGGAAATCCCAGCAAAATGGAAGATTTCGGGGGTGGGGGCGGGGCCATGCCGCCCCCCCCTGGCTACGTGTCTGCACAGCTGTGATGCCTTACGCTCTAGTTCGTGTACTGTGCTAAGTCATGCATGTCATTGGTTAGCTTACTTCTTTTTAAATGAAAATTCAGTCGAAGGCATTTTCTGATTTGAGAACATTTGTGTTTATTAGAGACAGCAGCTCGCTGTCGTCTGACGGCAGCATCGCTGACCAACGGCACGTTGGGGAAGAACAGGCCGACAGCCCGTTTCTCAGCTACCAGGACTTGGGTGCAGCTGGTACATCCAGCAGCTCCACGGAACCGCATACAACTGAAGAGAGTTCAAGGTAAACAAATAAAACAAAATAAATGTAACATAGGCTTATGTGCCCTCTTGGGACTGGTATTGTTGCAAAAACGCTGAGACGTTATACTCAGCATGCGGATGCAAGCGCACAGCTTTCGAATGTGCCTTTTGTGCAAGCGCTCACACAAACGAAGCACTGTGCAAAGCTCTGCGCTCATGCTCTTTCCTTTGCCCTCAGTGAACACAAATTGTGAATCGGAGTAAAGGCGTTGGTTTTGCTAATTGAAAGCCTGCTACTCCACGATCGACACTCAATATGCAAAACAAAGAACCACTTATGTTGTCCGTTCAATGAAAAAAAACTAGCACATCACTCTCAAATTAGATGTTAGTCATATGCTAACATCAACAATCAATTTGAAGATTTTACAGGACCTAAAGAGGCGCTCCTTCTATCCATTATTGTGTGAAGCAGATACAGTTTGCTACCATTTTCTTTCGTGCTTCCAGGTCCCAACAAATGAGAGAAACGCTGCTGGAGCAGGAGAACTCTGATAAAGAGAGGCAAGTGGACTATTGTTTTTATGCAACCTGAGTCCAGCTATGACCGCTTTACCAACTTTATAAAATGTAAACATTACTTCTGAAAAGTCGGGGGAGGGGGGGGGGGGGAATTGCTTTTGCACCACTTTCGACTGCAGTGACACTATCGGTGTTCCCTCTCCTTTAAAAGTTTGTCTTTTATTGCTTCTCAAACCACTGCATTTTCCTATGTTAAGGGCCCGAAGACCACGAAAAGTTGCAAAAAAAAACGGAAACAAGCAACCACAACAAAGGTATGGCATGATTGCACTATTTGTAATCTGTTCTCACACCAAACACCTTTTTCAGCCCACAACAAAGCAGTGCGCCATCAGCTGTAACAGCTGCTGCCTGTTTGAGACAGATCGAGCTCAATACAGAAGAGAGGAGGCACACTCCTGATGCTGTACATCACTTTTGCATGTCACTGACAGAGCAGCTGCGGTCACTAGGTGCAGATCAGCAGCTGGACACAATGCATAACATTCACAATTTAATGTATACTGTGATGAAAGAGAACACGACCGAACCTGCAAACCGCATTCCATAGTTTTAAGCCAATGCATGCCAAACTTGGCAAAAGGCTTGTACCCAGTCCTGCTAAAACCGTGCAGTGCAGCCGAAGCGACAGCCCCCGTAGGCCAATAAAGAAAAACCGCACACTTATACCCCACGGCGTGACTGTGCAGGGTGACCTTCGATCTTCTGATTGGCTGACGGGGGCTGCAGCTTGGCTGCACTGCACAGTTTTAGTGAGACAGAGTGGAGTTTACCTTGATCTTGCTTTTGTATCATGCTCTGCTACGTCTAAGAAGTGTCTGTGCTTCATGAGTGTGTGTTCTTTCTTTTTCCAATGTTTTTATTGTTACACTTATCTTGTGTCAAGCAAAAAAAAAAGGCAAGATAGGTAGTTTATTGAACGCCACATTATTCATGTCAGTGTTTTTATTAAGAGTTAAATATCCCATAATAAAAAAGGCTCAAGGTACACCTAAACACTGCTTATGAGTTGTGAATGCGCAAGCATGTACTTACCTCATTATTCCGCTCCCCTATTTTGTCTGCAGCGTATTTGTGTCGACGGCAGGGCGGCGCGCTCTGCCCGCACCCTGCCGTGCCGTTTGGCGCGGTTTCAAAGCTGATGATGTCGGCTCGCCCCATGAGACAGTTAATGCTTTCCCATTAAAAAAAAAATAAGCAGAAAATGAAAAAGAAGACAACTTGGTGTCATACCTTCATCTATCTTTCTGTTCCTTCCCCATATATCTTTATCATTCCTTATATATCTAATAAAATGACAATTTGAGTTGAAAGTCAGCACTGTGTGTGTGTGTCACTGACTGTATATTTTATTGCATGCCACTTTTCTCGTGAAGCATGCATCACCTGCACAGCTACCAACATTTGAGATCAGTGCTTGATTTCGATTTGCAACTGGATAAGTGAAGAATCCCACCTACTTGTTCCTGCCAAGGCATCACACCATGTCGTCTTGCCATGGCACCTTCCCAGCAGTGATGAAGTAGTGGGACAGCTTGTCCCTCATGGCATAGGCCAAGCTGGATACATCACAATAATGTGTATAAGATTTGAGACAGTGTCATTCAACCTTAAGGATGCAATCATGCATGAATTCCACAACACAACGAATGAAGTCTACATTTTTCTGCTTTAAACAAGCTTTTTGCACAACATAAATGTCATCTCTGGTATTGCTAGTCACCTTATGCAAACATAACAAATACCTTGTTTCAACAGAACTGAAAAAAAGTACTTGCTATGGAACGAGCTGATGGTGCATAGACTTTTGCACAATTACCCTTGCCATAAAAAAGTGTAGCGCAAATGTAGTTGCATATGCCGATGCCTGTGGCAGCAATTTTTTTGTAAGCAAACGTCAAATTGGCACTTTGAACAAACGTTCCTCAACGCCTTTTTGTTGCGATTTACTTCCACTCAGCCCTGTAACTATTATTGTGTATCCAGATGCAAATGGTCGACATGTAAAATTTTTCGTTAATGTACCTGAGCTCTGGAAATTGGAATTAAGAGAATATACTATGCTATTAGTTTTTCATATTAAGAGTAATCAAACTTGACTAAAACACTACCTGTGAAAATCTATTTATTCTTTGTACAGCTGATATGATACCTCTGCCACAAATATGCTCGACATTAGATTAGTGACAACATGTAAATGGGACTAGAGAACAGGTCATGGGTACCTGCATGTTGCTAATGACATGTACAGAAAAGTGAAAACTGGCTTCTCTGCCTGCTCTGGTCCTACCTGGTGGGACGACCACGCGTGTTTGACTGGCTGGTGAGTGCAGCAGTGGAGTTGGGCTCTGCCCACCAACTGCCAGCTCTTTCCTTGCCTTCCCAGTCGTCAGTGTCGCCAGTGCCGGGTGGGCAATAGGACGTTGAGGAAACCTGCGATTCCTTGAGCAGGAAGTTATGAAGCGCAATGCAGGCTGCCACATATCTGCTTGTGTTTTCTGTGTTCGCCCTAAAAGGGCGTCGCAGAATGCGCCACTTTTAGGCGAGAATGCCAAAGGCATTTTCTACAACCCTTCGGCCCCTACTAAGCCGGTAATTGAAGATGCGCCGCCGGTTGCATGCCTTGCGTTCCCCAGATGGCCTCTCTTCATTAGGTGCTTGGTCAGTATCGTCCGTCTGGCCTTCAGTGCGTGTGGGCCGTAGGCCTGCAGCACAGAGTCATTTTCATATTGGCTCCAGAGAAACATATGCAAAGCCATTTAATGCAAGTAAGACTGATGGGGAATTCCAATGGTCGATTTGGCATGGATTTTCAGCGGTCTTTTGTTGCTATCTTTATGCACAGACAAGCGCGAGCTAGCATTTGTTGGTCTAAAGGCGAGAGCGAGGATCGCTTTCGAATCGCTCCAAAACGACGAGTGGAATTCGCCACGATTGTGAGAGACGTAAAATGCCCACTACACCACATTCATCTCCAGGCATGCCCTCATTATGTACCATCGCTTTACCCGGTGTGTCACTCCTCCACAAATTAATTTTTGAAGGTTACCTCCATCATGTAGTTGTGTCTCCATTGGGTTTTTGTGACACTATCAAAAGCTGGCTATTCTGCACTGTTACATTGCCTTGGGAACTTGTTATATCCTCAGCAAAGAAATATATTCTTTGTGACCTAGATTTGCACAGCATGGCACATTTTTTATCTATAAATAAAGGGGGGGGGGGGGGGAGACGGAGACGGGAGAGAGAGAAGAGGTCACTTGCTTTTTCTTGGATAAGGCCGCATAAGGTACTTCTTCAGCGGGAAGGCCTCGTCCCCAACCAAGAAATAAGGCACTTTGCCAATGTTGCCTAGACTAGAATCTGGGGGAATGCCCTGTTGGTCTCCGACAATGCTGCGCTGTAGCTCGCTACGTGCGAGGATGCCTCCGTCCGACTCGCTGCCATGGTGGCCAATCTCCACATACAGGAACCTAATACGCATAAAAAAGAGAAAACACATCAGTGCATTTAGCTTTCCGGTCTCCATATCATTTAAAGAAACATGTGAAATATCAGAAGCATTGTCAAGACAAATCGGTAAATGTGAACTGCACAGTTTTCACGTGACAACATCCAATTCACCTCATTTCTGTAGCAGCAACGGCAGTAAGTGCTCAGTAACTATAACCTCTACATTTTTCAAATGATAAACCTGTGCAAATTGGAAATGACCACCCATAAACCTTTGAACAGCAGCCACCTAAGCAACTTCGCTTCTTCTGGCCACCCTGTACAGAAAAGAGAATTCTGTGTGTATGTGGGCGGGGGGAGTGGGGAGTTGCTGATGAACCATACCTCCTCCCCCCCCCCCCCCTTCTCCTCACTTCAAACAAAATCCTGGCTACGCTACTAACGTCACGTGCGGCTGAAATGTGCTGATGCTGAAGCGTCAAGGTCTGGCATTCTGGCTAGCTTAGCGGCGAACAAATAATGCACTCCATGCAAAAACTACAACAAAAATAAATGTTTCATATTGCACAAGCTTTGAGCATATTCTTGCAATTCTGCAATGCGCAGTCTTGCATGCAGTGCTTTAGAAAAGTAGCCAGTTGCAAGCCTACTACTGATGTGCTCACGCGAGTATTATACATGCTTGTACGCGTGGGGCACCACCTAGGATGCCTTTTTTGGAAATGCATATAGGAGAGGCATAGTCAAATTTGTGTTTTATGTCATCTCACTGATAGCCGAGATATTTATTAGCTCTTCTGATGTTGCCAGGTAATTAATAAGGTATGTAATAACTACCATACATTCATCATATTTCACAGGAAGCCTCACCTGTAGTAGGCGTCACTAACAGCAAGCAACGACTTGCTGAAGCCATTTTTATAATTTCTGTCCTGGCTGCAGGACTTCGCAGGACACTCGATGCTGACGTGCTTGCCGTCAATCGCACCCAAGCAATGTGGCAAATTCCATCTTTCCTCGAACTCGCCAGCAACCTGAAAAACAAAATTTGGGGGTTAAGTGTCACTCAAATATAGTATCTGGTGCACACCAGCATAAACTTGCGATGCATTTCAACCACACGGGTGCTTTTGGACGTGCAACTGAAACCAGGGTCATAAGGTGAAGTTTTTGCAATAAGCCGAAATCATATTGTAAGCGCATTGGCTGAGATTCAAACCCGTCAACTTGATATCCATCAGGGTTGCGACCCCGGAGTTGGAATGGTTCTGGAACCTTTCCACATTTCCATAGATCCGGAATGGAATGAGAATGGAATGGGGTAGTGGAGGGAGGAAGGAATGGGAGTGTGATTGGACCCTTTAATTCCGAAATGGAGTTCCGGCTCAAGCACCATCTGTGTACACGTGCAGCATGCACGTGGAGGTTGCTTCGACAGGCTTCATGCGCATGCTGCACGTGTACAATTTTTACTCACATACAAGCGAAGAAATGGTGATGGCCAGTTGCCCTGCTTGCAATTGTCTATACATGACTAGCACAGACGTCCTATCAGTGGCCATGTTGGTGTTATCTGTGCTGCTGCTGAGCGCATACCTTCAGCAGCGTGCACTTCGCACCATCAGATTAGTTTTCTCAGCTGGAACAAGTTGGAATGACCACCAGCACGGTCCGATGACGCCACGTGCAAGCCATGTGTGAGCAAAGCCAAGTGTGAGCAAAGCCGAAGATAAAAGCGTTGCCTTGAACAACACTTGCGTAGCACAAGCTCACGTGTACCACAGGCAGGCTTAAAACGTGAGGCTCACTCTGTAGCTTTGCCTTGGCTCGTACCAGTGAAACAAAGTATAGGTGCATTCTCTGATGAAGGGGCTTATTGTGCAAAGAAAAGCGGGTCATCGTGCAGTTGCAACGTTGACAGCACCAATATATAGAAGGGGCAGCCGGGGAAAACTTCAATTTGTCAGTAGAGTATAAATCCGCGTTTTCACGCCCCAAACGTCGCAATGGCAGCCACTAAGAAATTGGCCAGCCCCGTGCACGGGGGCAAAGCAAGTGGTCGTGAATAAAAGCACAGTAAAGTATGTGATCATTTCACTTGCACTGCCTATATGTCACTATGGCGGGGTTTTGTAATAGATCTAGGGAACATATCGGTTGGATCTTACATTTCACTAGGAGCAAAGGAAAAGGCTTGACAAGCTTTTAAACTTTGAAACAAGAAAAACTGTGTTTAGATCTTAAAGGGATGCTGAACCGAAATTTGAATTCCCCAAAAAACGCGGCAAAAGCGTGCAACGGGATGCTACAAACACCAAAACATCACTCATACAGCAATATCTCGAACGGATGACCGTATTTTACAAAAAAAGGAGGAGCATTTGGCAGGAATGTTGACGTCATGTTTCTCTGAGGAGAGGGAACGGCTTCGCGTCTTCTCCGCCTCGCGGCCTTGAGGGAGCGAAGCAAAGAGAAGAGGAAGCACGGTATCTTGACGTCACGCGCCTCGTCGGCCTGGTTCAATCTCGACCTCTTTTTTCAAAAATATGGCCGTTCATTCGAGATATCGCATTGCGAGTAGTATTGTATGGATTGTAGCGCCCCGCCTACAACTCCTGCATTGTTTTTTTTTTTTAATCCAAATTTCGGTTCACCATCCCTTTAAGCACTTCGCTTTCGCCACATCGTCCCCTTTTCTCGCACAATATTTTGTTTTATTTTGATCACACATCATAGACAAGTGCGATGCACTTCGAGAGCTTTGGAAATATGAAAATATCCTAAAGCACAGACGCATCTTAATATAGACCGTACATTTCGAACACCTCACTGCGTTTATATTCAAACTTCCGAACTGTCACAATGCTCTTTGCGTCGGTCATCCGTCTTTTCTTGCAAGCTTTTATATTTGCGGTGCCATCCCAAGTAGCACGCCAGAGGAATGCCCAACTTGGGCAAAGGTCTGGCAAACATAAGGGCCCAACTTTGGCGCAGTTAGGTTTTTGCACCATGGCACTCATCAGCGCCAAAGTACGGTGCCTAACTATAGCCTTAGTTGGGCGATCCTAGGGCATGCCAAAGTTTGGCTCTTCTCTGGTACGCCAGAGGAGTGCCAAAGTTGGTGCCATACTTGAGCCATAACTGCCATAGTAAATCCTAATCTGTGAATGCGGGGCATGCCAAGGTTTGGCGTTTCTCTGGTCCGCCAGAGGAGCGCCAAAGTTGGTGCCATACTTCAGCCATAACTGCCAGAGCAACGCCTAATTTCGGTATTTGGGACGTGCCAAGGTTTGGCGTTTCTCTGGTCCGCCAGAGGAGCGCCAAAGTTGGTGCCATACTTCAGCCATAGCTGCCAGAGTAACGCCTAATTTTGGTATTTGGGACGTGCCAAAGTTTGGCTTTTCTCGGGTCCGCCAGAGGAGCGCCAAAGTTGGTGCCAGACTTGAGCCATAACTGCCAGAGAAACGCCTAATTTCGGTATTTGGGACGTGCCAAGGTTTGGCGTTTCTCTGGTCCGCCAGAGGAGCGCCAAAGTTGGTGCCATACTTCAGCCATAGCTGCCAGAGTAACGCCTAATTTCGGTATTTGGGACGTGCCAAAGTTTGGCTTTTCTCGGGTCCGCCAGAGGAGCGCCAAAGTTGGTGCCAGACTTGAGCCATAGCTGCCAGAGTAACGCCTAATTTTGGTATTTGGGACGTGCCAAAGTTTCGCTTTTCTCGGATCCGCCAGAGGAGCGCCAAAGTTGGTGCCAGACTTGAGCCATAACTGCCAGAGTAACGCCTAATTTCGGTATTTGGGACGTGCCAAGGTTTGGCGTTTCTCTGGTCCACCAGAGGAGCGCCAAAGTTGGTGCCATAATTCAGCCTTAGCTGCCAGAGCAACGCCTAATTTCGGTATTTGGGACGTGCCAAAGTTTGGCTTTTCTCGGGTCCGCCAGAGGAGCGCGAAAGTTTGTGCCCTACTTCAGCCATAGCTGCCAGAGTAACGCCTAATTTCGGTATTTGGGACGTGCCAAAGTTTGGCTTTTCTCGGGTCCGCCAGAGGAGCGCGAAAGTTGGTGCCCTACTTCAGCCATAGCTGCCAGAGCAACGCCTAATTTCGGTATTTGGAACGTGCCAAGGTTTGGCGTTTCTCTAGTCTGCCAGAGGAGCGCCAAAGTAGGTGCCAGACTTGAGCCATAACTGCCGCAGTAAATCTTAATTTGTCGATTTGGGGCATGCCGAAGTTTGGCTTTTCTCTGGCTACCCACTGAAGTGCCAAATAAGTGCCAAAAGTGGCAAAGAAAGCCGAGAGACCAGCCCAAGTTTCGAATATCTCTGGTGTGTCACAGAAGTGCTCTTTCACGCGTCCCAGAAGAGAAATAAATTAAACAAGCGTTGGAAACACGATGGTAAGATGTCATCACCTCCGTTCCCAAGCAGCACGTCAATACTTTGCAGTATCGTGCCAGTGCCGGCCGAAAGTCGGTTCCAATATCGCTCAACTGTCCAGTTTTGTACCACCGTTTGATACCCCGCAGGTATTGCCGTACAGCTGTTTCGACCCGGCCTAGCGTTCGCGCACTATTGTGCGAAAACTCTACGATGCGTCTGCTTCGTATTGGCCGAACGTCGTGCAAGTATGTGTACGTTGCATGTCATTTGTTGCATATCCAATCACTTATACGGACAAACAAATTTTTTTCAATCGCTCCCAGAAGTTTATTAAACAACTATCATTGCACACAGTGTATTCTTAACATATTTACAAAGGTCACACTTCTCTGTAAAACGAAAAGCAAATTATAAAATACAATTAACACTGTCCTCATGCCAAGCAAAACTCATCACACAAAAACCGCGGAGATTGAGAGGAAGGCAGGACGACTATCAGAATAATGCTTGCAGTGCACTTACTAACAAAGGAGCGATATCATGTAATCCTTGATAGATGCATAATCCAACTCAGGCACCCCACAAACACATTCGAGGATTCGAGGACTGACGTCTCGTCGTCGGCGAAGAGCAGTTTTTGTCGAAGCGTGTCCAACAAACACATCACAAGTATTCCACAAACTCCGGTGCAAAAAATGGCTGTTACCGAAAAATTGGCATGGACGTATTCCGACCGTTTACGACGAAAAAACACAGCCGCGTCTGCAGCGCACGAAAGCAACAGAACACTGAAGAGCAGTTCGAAAGCCGGACCTACGTGGCCCGCTTATATCTATAACTAGGCAAACGGCGAAAACGACAGCCCCAGAGATCCCATCAGCGTGACAGAGAAAGTCACGTGAAAAGTTTCGTCCAAACGTTTTTGTCCTACGCGTCCTACGTAGAGAGGTCACGCTGGGTCACGCGTTTCGCTTCACCCTAAGCGGCTGTCGCGCTCGCTGACAGTCACACGAAGACACAAAGCAGGTGGGGAGGATTTGCAAAAGGCGAGGTCGAAGGGGAATCAACAACGCATAAAAGGAAAGGCCGCTTCTGCCGGTGACCTTGTCGCCTTGCCTAGTCTGTCAGCGTTCGGCTTCCATTGAGGGCCTCAGAAAGATAATCTCCTTTCTTGAGTGCGAAATGGACGGGGTGGTTAGGTTTTTCGGGCTTGTCGCCATCCGATAAGCCTCAATTATTTCTGTCCCCACTCGCTCGCAGTGGCCTCCCATGGCTGTCGTACCGGTGAAATTAAGAGCGCAAAAATACTCCAGAAGCCGGGCGAAGACATGATAAATGTAATAACAAAAACGGCTTGACATCACAAAAATAACAATTTAATTAAACGTTTCGCCTCCCATGCGGGAGGCATCTTCAGTAGAGCGCAGAGCGAGTGAGAGTCGCACAAAAAAGTTCGGCTATTTAGGCATAAAGTTTGTGTACATGTCCGGCAGGGGGCCACGGTTCTTGTTTACCAGCGATGAATCACTTCCGCGTTTGTCGTTCTGGATGAACCAAGATTCCAGCAGCTTCCTCAGTCCCCACCTTTTATCCCTCGCCTTGTCAAAGTCAAATTGGTGTCCTGACGTCCATGCATGGTCGACGAGTTCGGACTTGAAGCGGGTGGCGTTCGTGGAATTGGCGACATCCCGTGCGTGTTCTTTTAGTCTTGTTATTCTTTTTCGTTCCGTCTCTCCAATGTAGGAAGCGTCACATTCCTTGCACTGCACCTGGTAGATCACGACCCTTTCTGCCTCTGGCGGGGTCGGGTCTTTTGGCTTGGAGATAACATTGGCAATTGTTCCGTAGGGTCTGTATACAGTTCGGACCCCCAACGGCCTAAGGGCGCGTCCCAATGCCTCCGAAACCCCCTTAACGTACGGGATGCACACGACGTCACGTGTTCGTTCGGCTCGATCCGGGCGCCGACGGGACATTTGTTCCTTAACGCGATTGATAAACCGGTCGGGGTAGTTACGTTTCTTCAAAGCCTCCCGCACATGGCTAAGTTCTTGATCGCTAAGTGTTGAGTTAGATGGGACTGTTTCTGAACGATGAAGGCAACGATCTTACAACTGAGCTTTTGTGTTGAGTAGGGTGATGAGACTGGTAGTCAAGGGAGTTTTGTCTGTCACATGGTTTACCATATACGGATGTCTCCATCTTAAAGAAAGATTCACTAGTTCTATGGACGCGTACATATAAAAACGGCAAGGTACTATCAGTTTCATGTTCGCAGGTGAACTGAATTGAGGGGTGGACACTATTCAAATTGCGGTGAAAATCGGTTACGTTCTCTCTGTTAACTATTACAAAAGTGTCATCGACATAGCGACGGTAGAACTTCACGGGGAAATCAATGCCAGACATTACCTTTTCCTCAACATATTCCATGACGAGATTCGAGACGGTTACGGAAACTGGACTCCCCATAGGGCATCCGCTGACCTGATGATATATGTCCCCATTAAAACTAAAATTACACTGGTTGAGACAAAAACACAAAAGGAGTATAACGTCATCAACAAGGAGGGTTGTGCGAGCGGACAACGACTGGTCTGCCAACAACCGGTCACGGGCGACATCAACCGCCAGGGCGTTGGGGACATTCGTAAGTAATGATATCCCATCAAAGGATACCATAGCCTCGTGCGGTAGCAGGGTCTGAGCGCGTGTAAGTTCAACAGAGTCACGGGAATTCCGAACGCTAAACTCATTGTTTCCCGTAAGAGGGCTCAGAATCATAACCAGATATTTGGAAAGGCTGTAAGTGGATGAACCAATAACTTATACAATCGGGCGTAGGGGGCAACCCGGTTTGTGAATTTTGGGGAGTCCATACACCTTGGGTGTCGCGGCGTCAAAGGAGAAGAGATGACGGTATAGGTCATCACTGATGCGTCCTTTCTTTTTCAGCTCTCGAAGGTGGTCAGCTAACTCTCTTTCGGACTTAGCAGCGGGATCTCTTGATAGCCTCACGAAATAGCGACTGTCATTTATAACTTCATACATCTTCTTCATGTAGTCATCCCTATCAAGCACAACGGTTCCTTTTCCTTTGTCGGCCTTTAAAGTCATGATGGAGCTGTCTGACTTCAACTCATTAAGAGCAATGCGTTCTTGTCGATCTAAATTTGACCCGGCCGGTTTCACATTGTTCGAAACACTGACAACGCGGCTTCTCGCGAAATTTACCGCTGTGACATCGTGCACATGTCTGAGTTTCTCTTCAATTTCAATTATGAAGTCACGTTTTGGAACGTACCATGGAGCAAGGGCATAGTCCAGTCCTTTGGATAGCAGAAATTGCAAGCCAGGGTTGGTATAATAGTAACATAGGGTACGTACGGCAGAATTCCCTGCCATAAAAAAAATGATTTGGCTAACGCCAATTTAACGCGAAATAGGAGCTAAGAGTTTTGCGATAAGAAGGGTAAACCGAAAAAAAGGAAAAAAAAAGAAAGACTGAAGGAAAGGAGAAATAAAAAAAAAATCTGGTGACGTGGCCAAAAAAAAATTCTGTTCATGTGATTTTTCTTGTTACATGACCAAACAAAAAAAAATAAATAAACGAAATGAAAAAAAGGAACACGAGAAAAAAAACCAGCCCGGTTTCGAAGCTAGGCCCGCTTGATCGTGAAACTAGCGCGCTGTCCGTTGGGCCAACATAACTTTTTTTGTCTTCCTTTATTGCAAGTTGCGCCAACATAACTCTGCCTGTAATGCTCACGCATTCTCCCATCATAGGAGAAAGCTTAGTTGCCTTCGTAGTTTTTCATGCATGTGTTATTTTTATTTGTGGCAAGAGTTCACGTCCAGAATGCTTTTAGAGTTTTCGAGCAAAACGAGTTTTTTCATCCGAGTCACCTTCTAGAACCAGTAGACCGCACTGGGTCGTCCGGCTAATCAAGCAGCTTTTTTCAAATTCCCTAACGTGCCCGTCCTCGGATCCGAGGTCGCCGTTTGACAAGCTTAACTTTCTTCCACCTTTTAGCCGGAACCCCCACGGCAGCTTTGTTCCGTCCCCACTCCCTCTCGAGAGGATGGCTCGCCCCGAGGCTAATCCCATTCTCTAGACGCTCTTTCCACTCAACGATGGCCCTTTCCCTCCCCGTCCCCTAGCTTCGGGAGAGAAGGTTCTTCTCTGTAGAACGTCCCGTTTGTACAACGGCCTTTAAAGTTCAGATTGTCCTGTCTGTATCGTCCCTTTTGTGTCTCCACTTTTAATGTTTAAAAAGTATCAACACGCTAAACTAGTACAATTTCCAGGATTTTATTTTCATTCCCCAAGTGTGATGCGGGAGCCGCGCCACGGAGCCCCGGTCGTTTCCGCTCTTTGTTATCGCTAGGATTTGACAGTGCTCAATCACAATGCAAGACACGCACAGAGCCACGCTCGCTTTTGCAATGCGCCGCCTAATAATGATATCTCTTGTGGAATCGTGCGTACATCCGTCTTGCGCAGTGTTAGCTCAATTGACAGCACTTTCTGTAAAGGCGGATTCACACCGGGGATGTAAGCAGTCGCGCGATCCAACTAAATCGCATCGCAAAAAAAAATAAAAAATAAATAAAAGTAATTAGTTGGTCAATTTGGCGTGCGCGATGAGCTAATCCAACGCGTTCGTTGGCGAGTCGCTTCTCAAAAACTCTCGCTCCGAACGCCGTTGGTTGGCTGGGCCTCTCCGCGAATAGAGTGCATCGTAAAAAGTCGGGTCAGCAAGCGACTGCTCAAATCCCGTCACTTTTTGCCCGCGATGGTCGCTTTTGCGATGCAAGTTATGGCGCGACTAGATCGGATCGCCGGTGTGAACGCGCCATAATGTCGAACCAGTCTCACGGCGCGCCCCGATATTGGCTTGTCTACCTACGCGCGAGTGCAACCTCTGGCACAATTTATTTGCGTTTGCAAAGCCTGCTCCAGCCGCGTCAAAACATTCAGCCAACCTTTGGACTGCAGAAATCAAGAGACACCCAAAATAATATAAAGTTGCCAGCCGAATAAAACTTGATTTCTATTTAATTAAGATGAAGACCACCCGCGTACATCAAATATTTCATCAGCCGAACTCCAAGGCAGTAAGCCTAGTTCTGGCACTTGTTTGGCAACTTTGGCCCGCAGCTGCCAGATCACAGCCAAACTATCGGGAAGCGAAGCCTAACTTGGGCGCTCGTTTGGCGACTTGGGCCCAAAGATGCCAGATCTCAACCGAACTTTAAGGTAGTAAGCCTAACTCTGGCACATTTGTGGCAATTTTGGCCCGAATGTGCCAGGTGACAGCCAAACTGTGAAAAAGTGAAGCCTAACTTTGGCATAAGTTAGGCGATTTTGGCCCGAAAATGCCAAAGCTCTGCCGAACTACAAGGTAGTAAGCCTTACTCTGGCACATCTCTGGCGATTTTGGCCCGAATGTGCCAGGTGACAGCCGAACTGTCAAAAAGTGAAGCCTAACTTTGGCATTAGTTCGGCGATTTTGGCCCAAAAATGCCAAACCTCTGCCGAACTACAAGGTATTAAGCCTAACTCTGGCACATCCGTGGCGATTTTGGCCCGAATGTGCCAGGTGATAGCCGAACTATCAAAAAGTGAAGCCTAACTTTGGCATTAGTTTGGCGATTTTGGCCCAAAAATGCCAAAGATCTGCCGAACTACCGGGCAGTAAGCCTAAATCTGGCATTTTTTAGGCGATTTAGGCCCCAAGATGCCAGACCACAGCCGAACTACCCGGCAGCGAAGCCTAAGTTTGGCACTTGTTTGGCGAATAAGGGCCAAGATACCCAGACTGTTGCCAAGGGAGGTCAGGTTTGGCACTACTTTGGCTTCTTCGGGCTTTTTAATGCCCTAAACTGCCAGACGCAAGCCAAGTTTTGGCCCAGAACTCGGTGCTGCCTGGGATTGTCTTTCATCCACCGTTATAAAAGGGTTAAGTTTGTATCAAAAACTCTCATTTTCTATCCTACAACAGAAGGTTAGGTATGAATAAGCAGTATATTGTGGTGAATAGAAATGCTTTCATGTAGTGAGAGTGAATTTTGGATGTACGTTAAAGAATGTGCGCAAGCTATAGCCTGCATGTGACTTCTGCATGCAAAACCTCGTGTATCAATACACATGATCACATGACAGCTGTATACAGAGCTTGAAGTTGCCAATAAGGACATGCTGCTTCGCTGTTATATTGGAATTTATTCAACTTATTCCTATTGCTTTCTTTCGTATAATGCTTTCGTTTTTGTCAGCTTCGAAGTACAAACACCATGGACATCATTTCATATTGAAGAATTAAAGGAATGAAATAGGATCGCCCAGCCACGTCTAGAGAGGGAATGGGCTAAGTCTCTCCACTACAACAAGTTAAAAGGAATGGAATTAGCACAATCTCCACTCCCAGGAATAGGAACAGACTTGAATGGGTGGCCACATTCCGCAACTGCGATATTCATGGAACGACCGAAAGGCAAATGGGACTTCATTTCTGTTTGTGCCCGTTGATACTACGACACTGACGCCAAGTTTACAAATGCGACACTAGCAGCACCTAACGGCATATCAACACCAGAAAGTTTGAACCATACCCTGATCCAGGCGTCTGCGGTCTTCGGGCATACAAAGTAAATGGGACTCAGGATGTCCCAGATAGCTGCACATACCTCCGACACAATTTTGCACGCTGTTGTTCTCCCACAGAGGAAATTGTATGAGGAGGACCTCAGCATTTCACCTGCTGCCAAAAATGTGCAAATAAAAATAACTATTTGTTCACATTCGCTAGAACCCAGGTGGCATGCTGATGAAATTCTTGGGGGTAGTAGGCCAAATAGGCAAATCAACATCGGACCTCTGGCATGCCGCAGCGAAGTTTAATTTCAACCACCTGAGGTCCTTCTCATGAGTATTGACATCAAATTACGAGCACGCATGTCGAGATGAGGTTTGCCCATGGTACGTTTTCAAATTTTCAAATCTTTACCTGCCGGCCAAAGCCAGGCAATCGTCGGGAGAGATCGGGCGTCGGAATCGGGTTTCCTCCTTCGTGATGTGGGGGCCGACGAGGCTCAAAAGAGTGTCGAAGGACCGCGGCGGCATCCTAAGAAAACTGTAAGAAACCCGTACACAAATGATCATGGGACAATTGAGCATGGTTACCTCGTACGGTCGAGGAAGGGACACTATCCGAGTTGTTTGTTTAAACTGCTTGAGGAGAGCCATAACAAAGAACGCAACGTTTTCAGCGTCGTTCGAGCCAACACGCTCGTACTCGCGGCATAGCGCACAAGTGTATACATTCCAAATTCACTTACTCCCGGTAATACTCCTCGTCATACGAGCGAAGACGAGGAAGGAGGCAGCTGGCTTGTCCCGTCCTTTCGCGGTCTCGCAAACATGGGCGGACCCACCACCGCCGACGGCGACGCTGCTCTTTCGGCGCTCGCTGCTCCTCTTCCTCCATCGCAAGCAGCGAAGACGAGAGGAGAATCATTGCGATCTCCTCTTCTTCATCTATGTAATCGTCCATCATCAGCTTCGCGCCGTGCTTTCCGTTTGGTGCAGCGTCAACGTGAAGCGCACGCCTACCCGTCGAGCCAAAACAAAAACAGAGGTGAGCCGGGGAGCAGCGACGGCGACGCCCGGGAGAGACAGCCGAGGTGGGAGCTCTCGCGCCTTCTCGTCGTATTTGACGGGATGTCACGAGAACAGCTGCCGCAGCCGGCGCCGCCGCCGCCGCCGCCGCCGCTCGAAGGAAACAGATGTAAACACAACCCGCTTGTCGCCGCCGCCGCCGAGAGCGGATCCGCTCCCGCGGCAGCGGATTTCTTCTCAACTGTAAACGTACCATTAGATGCTCGAAGGCCTTCCAAAATTTCATCCTCACTGGTCGAAAGGAGGTCATCTTTCGAGATGACCCCCCGAACCGTGTTCAGCATTCTTTGCTTACTCACTGTGACCGGCAGATCACCAAGGGATGTCATTTTCAACAGCGTCGAGCTCTGCGACTTCCTTACCACCTCAACGAGTAGGTCTCCGGAATGGGGTTTCTTTGCTTTGTATTCTGCACCAATGTTACTGTCTAGAATCTTTTCAACTATAAAAGGCGACAGTTTGGCAAGAGGTTGGTCTTAGTTTTCAGAGTGAATGACCAAGAATCTCGGGAATGTTTCGTCTTCAGGATCTTTGGCAATGACAGAGAGTTCAGGACGCTGCCACTTAGAGGCGCGTCCAGAACCGGGGGTTTCGGTTTGAGAGCGAGCCATGAAAGGAGAGAGGAAATTCGGAATCCGCGGTGCACCACCCACCACCGAGCCCAACAAGGGGTTAGGTAACGCACCATAACAAAAAGGGCTTTGCTGGAAACGTTACTCTAAAGGCCTGTTCACACATGCAGCGGAGCGCTACAAGCATAGCGCTGACCTCGCGCGAAGCGCGTGCTGATGCAAGCGTTCACCAGCTATGTATCGCACTGCCAAAACTGTTGTTCAAGGTAAACGATAAGTAGTTGACTACACGTGAGAAGCGCTACATTAGCGCTTCGCTGCATGTGTGAACCGGCCTCTACGATGCTGCCGGGAAACTATACCCAAGTGTAGGTCAAGACAGAGGTCCATTGCCACCCAAGGTTAGTCCTTGCCGCCAAAGAGGAGTGAAAAAGGAGTAAGAGAATTGAGAGAGAAGTAGAAGAAACAGGAAAGGATAAAAGTGAAAGATCGGAGGGGATAGTAGAAGAAAAGGCGACTAGACTGAATCATCCTGGCCGGGCCTTACCAGGACTCCCGTCTATGAGAAGCGGGGGGCCGAAGTGGTGTATTGCCTCACCCGGGGGGCCCCGGAGGGTTCGAAACCTACCCCGGGCTCAGCTCAACCACCAGGATGCCCTTTTCCCCAGACACGGGAAAGCCACGCACAGCCAGACGTGGGCGGGCGAACCAGCATAACTCGGGGTCCGTGGAGACGCCACTCTCCAAACACCTGTTTTCTCAGGTGCCCCCTGCGGGGCCTTATGCTAAGAAGGCTGCGGTCATTATGGTAGGGAGGATGGGGGAACGGACGGGTCTCGGGAATGTGTGCAAGGGTTGGAGGGGTTAGGTGGGGGTGGGGGGGGGGGGGGGGGGGGAGGGGAGCTCGTCTAGCGCTGTTAGCGGCCGAAAAGTAAACTTCAAGGCGTCTTGGCTTGACTACGCCAAATGGTTTAGCTCGGCTAGGAGAAAAATACATCGGCTAGAGTGACGGCGTAGAGCCGCGAAGGCGGCGGATGGCGCTTTCGACTTCTTGATGTTAAGGCCTTACTTCATGTCGGATCGGATCTTGTTGGCTATTCGAAAGTGACGGCGCTGTTACTACGACCGACAAACCGCGCTGTCAACGCGAACACGACATCGGCGATTGTTTGCATTTTATGGGAAAATGGTACTATGTTAATTCCGTTCCAGTTTCGCAAGTAATGTTTCTTTGCGTGCGTGCGTGCGTGCGTGCGTGCGTGCGTGCGTGCGTGCGTGCGTGCGTGCGTGCGTGTGCGTGTGCGTGTTTGTGTGTGTGTGTGTGTGTGTGTGTGTGTGTGTGTGTGTGTGTGTGTGTGTGTGTGTGTGTGTGTGTGTGTGTGTGTGTGTGTGTGTGTGTGTGTGTGTGTGTGTGTGTGTGTGTGTGTGTGTGTGTGTGTGTGTGTGTGTGGACGTGCTAGGGCTTGTGCATTAAACAACCCAGACTCCGGTTGAATGCGTCCCGTCCCGTCAACCGTTTCACCCCGCGATCGCGTCGGCCGCTTTTATCATCATCCTCCATGATCATCCGCGCGAAGCTCGCTTTGCACCGGTAGACGTGCTCAGTCGCCCACTTGGCCGATGGTGGTGACGTACAAAACCACCGGTGAACGCACGTATGGTTGTCACGCAGCGCTCAGTTCCGCGCAGCCCATACATTTTACCGATGATCCAAACTCGAATACTTTCAGGCATAGTCACCAGCGTTTTTCTGTGGCAGATTTATGGCAGCCTATGCAACTCTAGCCCTCACAAGTGACACTCCACGGTGATACACATTCTGGGCTATTATTTCACGCGATCAACAACTTAAACACCTAAGTTCGATAACCATTATCATACTCCCAAGCAAGGTGGATATCTATATTTATCTCAAAGCACACACTTCCATGAGTATGTACTCATTTCTCAATGTAGTAGGACCAACAATTCTTCCTAGTGCAATGGAAACATACAAACCTCTGCTCATACCAGATTTTTCCAAAGCATATCGACGCTGGCACTGCTCGAAGCACGCCACTCGGCATGCCTAGCTGCGCAATACCCATTGACCACTGTCGAGGAGCGCTACTATGCCAAGGGTGGTAGTTGCACTCCTGGCATCAGCTTCAAGTGAGATGACCAATGCCCAACAAGCTGTGGGACACGGCAGACGATTCCCTGCCAGCATACTGCCACTAAACTTCCAAATTCACATTCCTTGCAGCCATGCCGAAGGCTCCCATGACTAACTTTGCATAGCTATACTGATTAATGGTATAACACGACTTTGGTTTAGGCTAGTTGGTTCTTACTTAATGCTAGTAACAGCTCCAACAGGCACCCGAGCCATGGCCAGCAAAGTCAATGCTTCCATTGAATATTGCTTGTAATGTAACGGGTTCTCACCCATGATCTCGTTAGAACGCCAGGGTGATGCCCGTGAAACCTCTCCACAAGTGCACATGCATAATCGTTGCCACCTGCTTTTGTAGTGACATGGGAAAGTTTTCTGAAGCCATTCACAAATCTGCAATAGGGTGCATCTATGCGACACTTGCAACCTGTGCATTGTGGACCTTTGTCATTGTGCATAAGCAACATTTGCCACCCTTAACAGTCTGCGCTCATCCGCCAATCTGACAGTTTCGTCCACTTGAACTGGCTCGCTACCGCTGAACAGTCTTTCTAGTTAGTCTATGTGGATGCGAATGGATATCTGATGAAGTGATATATACAATATTTGGTGCAGATGTACGCACTTTGCAGTCCAGACATCTTCTTCGTGAGAGTAAGCTCCGGTCACAAGTCGACAGCACAAACACTATGACCCCCCCCCCCCCCCCCCCCAATCATAAACTTGTATTCTTTAGCACAAAATTAGTTCACAGGGTTGTGGGACCAGGAACTGTCACTGAAAGCCGCCAGCGCAGACTGTGCAATTGCCGGGTTGGAGGTGGGGTTAAACAGTTAAAAAATAACAGGAGAACAGTTAAAAGAAAAATTTGAATTAGCACAATAAATGTTTAGTACGGGAACTAATTACACTGGTTTCGTGAACCGTGTGCGTGAACTGTAAGCGCTCCTGCCACTTCCGCATGCTGCTTGTTAGGGAGGCCTATCACCTCTCTAAAGCAGTGGGGAAGGTCACCACAGGCCAACTAGCTTACGCCTGTCTAAACATTCATGAAACCAACCGGATTTTTTGCTGCTTGATATAATCTATGTGCGCGTCCGCCAGTGTGTCTCACCAACCAGATGACCACCATGCTGTTGATATTCGCAGATTTCAGAGATGACTCCTGGACCCATTTGCTTGTCAGCGAACCGTGAGCACTTCTCAACTTCAAAGCTTATTGTGTAGCCACGGATGTCCGACTTCGACTCATGGCCACAGCTTAGTCTCGGACACACTGCGAAAGATGTTCAGGGTACAAACGTGAAATCATATTTGGTCTGGACACAGGGCATAGCAACTGTGCTGAGCAGTTTTATGTGCGCCCGTGCTGATAGTGTCGCAACACGGCAAACCTCCAACGACGTCCGGAGCCGTCCGTCAAGAATGCATGGTGCAACCCCCGGGCACGAGTGCTCCTAAGAACTGGCAGGTACGGTCAATGGAAGTGAATCAAGACAAACAGGAAATCATAACAAAAGAGTGCCTCAGTTACTGACGCTGAAAGAATAAAACACACATTTGGGACGGACAATCGAATGTGCGCTTTATTCCTTCAGCGTCGGTAATCATTAAGCGAATGCTCTCCTCGGTTCCAGAGTGCCTCAGCAATGGCTAGCCATCTCTCTTGGAGGAGACGGATCAATTTCGGCTGGTGCAACAGGTTCCCCTGTAATAAAGCAT